TCAGTTAGGGCAGAGCTTAAGTTCTCTTATGCCACAGTTTATTTGCTGCTACTCGTTGATTGGTGAAATATATGCACAGCCTCATGGGTAATGTAGTTTTCTAGCATGATCTCTGCTATTATACATGATTGTTTTAAAATTTAGTTGAATAAATACTAAAAAACCAAAACATTTCCTAAAACTGGTTTGTTCTTTAAAAGTTTTTCAGTTTATCTTCTTTCATTTTTTGCGCTCTATAGCAGCGGCTCCCTTTCTTCATGCGCAACTAGAGTAAAGCTCTCTTTTGTGATGTTGTTTACAGGTTTTATGAAATATGAGGCTGTTAATGGTGCTATCAATAACATTTCCTTTCGGTGCTGCTTTTGAAGTGGATCATATGGTGTGTGTGTGTGTGTTGACATGTGTTCAGAATCTGGACAATCTCAAAGACTTGTTTAATTTAAAGAGAGATGTTTGGAAATGTCCGGAGCAGATGTGCTCACTCAAACAGCGCTCGCTTTCTCGTTCGCTTTTTTCTCTCGGACACGGATTCATCCCTCCATCTTTTCATGTTGATCATTGTTCAATATATATGAGGCACGGCTGATGAATATAACCCCGTGCCTGTCACGCACCAACATTTCAGATACATATTGCCATTTACCATGCATTGCTTCCATGTAAAACGGTAATGAAACAATGCTCTGCTGAGACGTACACTCTCAATTTGACAAATCACAGATAGATGTGTTTGTGCGATTGGCCACTGTTTTCCCCTTTCAATGCTTTTCTAAATATCTGGCTTGTGTTTCAGGAGTTGCCCTCGTTTTTTAAAGACGATGCTCATTTATGATTCATAATGATCTAACATCACCTCCAATGCTTCTCCTATAATCCCTCTGGAGAAATTGAAATAGATGCAAACGAGTCTGAGTGAAGGAGAGCTCTGTAATTAATCATCTGATGAGAAACCTTTGAGATTGCTTGCAGATTTGATTGCAGATCTGAGCACAGTTTGAGATATTAATGAAATCTCGGAGAGGATCTTTTTGCTTGGGAAAACATCTGGAGGCTTGACTTTTGCTGGTAAAGTGCTGTCTCTTTGGGTAAGAATTGGGATATAAATGCTCATGATGCATTCAAGTCCATCTGGACCCTAAAGGGGGGACAATGTTTCTTTAAGCTATGCATTATTTTTTAGTAGGGGAACACATGGTAAAGCAGATGCTTTAAGACCCTTGTAAGGGGTTTTGAAGTTTGTTTACTATTCATTTTGAAGAGATGTAACCAATAAAGCATGGTTGTTATATAGCATCATACCTAGGCCTATTTTATTTTTCTACTCAGCCCCCCTAAAACATTTGCGATTAGCTCATATAGACCTTTTTCTTGGAACGCAAAATTACCCATGATGCTTTTCGTGTATGCGCAAGGAGAATGCTAAGAACTTCCGGTCAGCAGCTGATGCGTGTAAACGGTCACATTTGGACAGCTTTGAAACGATAGTTTTAATTTATTTTACCAGCTTTTATCCTCTTTGAACTAATACTGTTGTCCATCAGCAGCATCTCCTGGACTGATCATGTAAAGAAATGTGATCTAATAGGATGGAAAACAGCTGCTGTGAGGCGTTTTCCCCTCGGTGTCAGACGGCATCTTCTGCAGTTTAGATGAAGCCTCGTCATCGCTAAAGTCAACATTTTCTCTTTCTTTCAAATATATAACCAGCCCAAACAAATGTAATTCACCAAGATGTTTGATAGACACACGTAGCCTGTACTGTGCCACTGACACACTGATTTAATAACTGTGACAAAGTGAAAATACAGGCTATTGTCATTTCCAAATGAGAGAAAAACACAAACCGTGGTGAAAACAACACACGAAATAAAACACAAACGGCTCGCGATTAGCATGAACAGCAAATCAGCAGCAGAGCATCAATAACAGACTTTTATTGCTCATTTTTGTAAATTACATGACTTACATAAATTTCATGCTAATAATACGGTTTTCTCTATAATGCAGCGAAGTATTGCATGCGCGCGTGTGTGTGTGTGTGCGTGTGTATTAAAGAGCCGCTGAGCTAACAGCTGACAGGCCGGGAACACACACACACACACACTGTATTTCTGACGGCAGACACGTGAACTAGGAGAACGTTTTTCTCGTATTTCTGACGCGCTTGAACCACATGTGACAGATTATAACGGCTTTAACAGACACATTTCTAAGTTGTGTGTCACAAAAACACTCTGTTATCCATTAAAACGTTATTGAAACCCATTTTCGGAGCGCAAATTACCAGTTGTACACGCTGTAAACGGAAGTTTTTAGCATTCTACCAGAAGACGCCGATCGCTATGGCGCCCACCATGCAGCAGCCATGAAAAAGGTCTATACTGTGCACTAAATGATCACCTCAGTCCACTTTAAATTTAATATGAAAACGACGGTAGAATTCGGCTCCACCCCATCTTTCTTTTTTCATTTGATCAGCAAATCGTGGACAGCAAGAGAACGAGTTGTGTGTTTATTGTTTAAATTATTTAAATTATTTTGTGTGTTAAATTATTTATTATTATTTGCAGTTCTTTGATATAGATAACCTTGCATCACCTGTATCTCAATGTCACGGAGGAGCCGTCGGGTTTTCTCGGCGTTCACCTTATCATTTTTACATTTATATTTAGTCATTTAGCAGACGCTTTTATCCAAAGCGACTTACAAATGAGGACAAGGAAGCAATTTACACAACTATAAGAGCAACAATGAATAAGTGCTGTAGGCAAGTTTCAGGTATGTAAAGTCTAAGAAGCGAAAACAGTAATTATTATTTTTTATTTATTTTTTTTTTTAGTGTAGTACAGTTAGCGGTGAAGCCAGAGAGGCAATTGCAGATTAGGAAGGAAAGTGGAGACTAAATAGTTGAGTTTTTAGTGGTTTCTTGAAGACAGCGAGTGACTCTGCTGTTCTGATGCAGTTAGGGAGTTCATTCCACCAACTGGGCAGATTGAATGCGAGAGTTCGGGAAAGTGATTTCTTCCCTCTTTGGGATGGAACCACGAGGCGACCGACGTAGAACGCAAGTTTCTGGAGGGCACATAAATCTGCAGAAGTGAGAGCAGATAAGAAGGAGCAAAGCCAGAAGTCGCTTTGTAAGCAAACATCAGAGCTTTGAATTTGATGCGAGCAGCAGCTGGCAGCCAGTGCAAACGGATGAGTAGCGGAGTGACAGCACAGATGTTTCCTCCAGTGAAAAATTTAACTCGTAACGAACATTTTGCTATTTTTATTTCAAAATGAACTGCCAATATTAAACACTCTACAGTTCATGTGACATTAACTAAACCATACAGTCTTGCACAGAAAAGATTAAACACAGTGACAGCACTTAGAGAATGTACACGTTTTAACTGTCGCTGAGTCACTGACAGAGATAGAAACATCAAGTGTTGTCCAGTATTAAAAAATTCTGCTTATTTATTATTATCATTCAGATTGTATGTGAAGTATGTGAATTAGCCTGTAAATTTAAATATATATATATTTATATGCCATTTAATTACCCAATATTTTTTTAATACGTGGAAACAAAGAATGCACTTGAATATAGATAGTGGTTTTTACATCAGTAAACAGGTGGGTTGAGCCTATTTGGCTTACTCAGAACTCAAATGGTTATACCTGTCTGTACAATATGCTCAATATGTTCATACACTACCTGACAAAAGTCTTGTCATGGATCCCAGTTGTAAGAGCAGCAAATAATAACTTGACTTCAAGTTGATCATTTGGAAAAGTGTCAGAAGGTGAATTTTCCTGATGAATCATCTTCTGAGCTGCATCCAAATAATCACAAATACTGCAGAAGACCTACTGGAACCCACATGGAGCCAAGAATCTCACAGAAATCAGTCAAGTTTGGTGAAGGAGAAATCATGGTTTGGGGTTATATTCAGTATGGGGGTGTGCGAGAGATCTGCAACATCAACAGCCTGAGGTATCAAGATATTTGTGCTGCCCAAACCACAGGAGAGGGACAATTCTCCAGCAGGATAGCGCTCCTGCTCATACTTTAGCCTCCACATCAAAGCTCCTGAAAGCAGAGAAGGTCAATGTACTCCAGGATTGGCCAGCCCAGTCTCCAGTGTGAACATTATTGAGCATGTCTGGGGTAAGATGGAGGAGGCGTTGAAGATGAACACAAAGAATCTTGATGAACTCTGGGAGTCCTGCAACGCTTTCTTTGCCATTCCAGATGACTTTATTAATCAGTGATTTGAGTCGTGTCAGAGATGTATGGATGCAGTCCTCCAAGCTCATGATGGAGTCAGACACAATATTCATTCTGTCTCCACTGCAGCAGGACTTTATATTCTATACTGGACATTATTTCTGTTCAGTGATGAGACTTTAGTCTAAGCAGAGTCAGACCTTACTGTCCTGATGAATCATTTAAAATCAAGACATGATCATATTTTATTGTGCTCAAATAAGCAAAATCGAGAGGTCTTTGCCTTTCATATAAGACACTTCTGATATCAAATGTTCAACTAGAAGTCAACTTATTATTTGCTGTTCCTAAAACTTGGATAGGTGACAAGACTTTTGTCAGGTAGTGTGTATTTGAACCCAAGTTTCAGCAATTTTTACTGTTTTTTATTGTTTTATTGTGGCTATAAAGCAGATTTAGGTGCCCTGTTAAATTGGTGAAATTTGGCTGAAATTTCCCAATGCATTAATGCACAAGTTGATGTACAACTTCAGTAATTCAATGCACCAAATTAAATTTTCTGAATGCATTTTCTTCTCTAAAATGAGTGATTTCTTTAATTCAATACCCAGTAGTGTACTAGAATCTGCCTCTTTAGGGCTACTATTGTATGCATACTCTTTTACATGCACTAGATAATGCATAGTAATGCAGTGCAACAAATTTTCTGAATGCACTTTTTCCCCAAAACCCCTTAAATCCATCCACCTTCTTCTGATTTAACACTGTGCATTTTCTCTCTCAGACCTACAGTGACCCAGTGGAGAGCAAAAGCGCCCAGTCAAGTCAGCCGTCATCCCACATGATGCCTCCCAATGCACCCCTATACAGCGTCCCACCCCAGCCCTCCTCCCCGTACCTGGGCCCGAGTCCCTTCCCGCTGTCAGACCTCCAGAGTTATGCTGCTGGAGCCCCCAGACACGGCCTGCCCCGCTCCGCCATGCTGCCCGCGCTCAGTGCCTCCCCGCCGGCCTCCTTCCAGATCAGCCCCCCACTCCACCAGCAGCTCTCCCTGCACCAGGGCTCCATCCTCAACCAGCCCATCCGGATGCAGCAGGTCCAGTCTCACCAGATGAGTCTGCAGGCTCCGCTGCACTCCCCACCCCCAGGACAGCAGGTCAGTGCGCATCAAAACACCATGCATGCTTTTGTTTTGGGGTGGCACTGGGGTGCTGCATTATCATCTGAAATGTCTGAATGCATTTATGCACTTGTTAATGTAGACCAGTAATAAAATGCATCTAATATAGTGTATGTTTTAAAGTGTCTAAAATATCTGAGTGCATTTATGCACTAGTTAAAATACACCAGTTATGCAATGCACCAAATTTAATTGTCAGAATGCATTATTTTTTCACTAAAATTAGTCGTTTCCTCATTTAAATATGAGGTAGCCTACTAGAATCTCCCTTTTAGAGTTAATAATGTATGCATGCTTGTATTACTATTATTCCTACTACTAATATGTAGCTACATTACAATGTACAGTTTTAAAGTGTATGATTTAAATAGTGATTAAAATTTCTGAATGCATTAATGCACTAGTAATGCAATGAAACAAATTAAAAATTCTAAAAATTAATTTAAAGTTAAATTATTTATCTAAAAATACTTTTTGTGTGTACTTTTATTATCACTACTACTACTACTACTACTATGATTTAAATATGTTATGAATGCTCTAACATACTAGTTTATATGCATCAGTAATGCAATGTATCAAATTAAATTTCTGAATGCATTTGAAATGAGTCATTTTCTAATTTAAATATGAGGTAGCATATAAGAATATCCCTTTTTAGAGTTATTATTGTATGCATATCACATTTGATATTGTATGCATACACACCACTAATCATTATACTAGTAAGTAGCTAGAATACATACTTCACTGAATGCAGTATTCAGTTTTATAATGTATGATTTAAAGAGTGTCTAAAATACCTGAATGTAATAATGCACTAGTTAGTGTACACCAGTAATGCAATGCACCTAATTTTATTTTCTAAATGCATTTTTCCCTAAAATGAGTAATTTGGTCATTTAAATACAAGGTAGCGTACTAGTTTCCTTTTTTAGAGGTTTTATAGTACACCAGTGATGCAATGCACAAAAATACATTTTCCTTATAATGAGCCCTTTCCTCATTTAAATATTGCTGTACTCATTTAAACATTGTACACCAGTTATGCAGTGCATTGAATTTCCTTTTCTGAATCCTTTTTTTTTTTTTGCTCATTTAAATATGATGCAGCATACTAAAATCCCCCTCTACTAAGTTATTGTTGTCTGCATATTATTGTGCATATCTTACATACTACAATGCATATGCATAGAGTGAACAGTTTTATAAAGTATTATTTAAATAGTGTTTAAAATATCTACATGCATTAATGCACTTGTTATTGTACACAAGTAATGCAATGCACCAAATTACATTTTCTGAATGCATTTTTTCCCCTAAAATGAGTAATTTTGTCCTTTAAATACAAGGTAAAGTACTAGAATTTCCCTTTTTACGGTTATTATTGTACACCAGTGATGCAATGCACCAACGTAAAATTTCTGAATGCATTTTTTCCTTTAAATGAGCCATTTCCTCATTAAAATATTGCTGTTCTCATTTAAACATTGTACACCAGTAATGCAGTGCATATGATTTAATTTTCTGAATGCTATTTTTTATTTTTTTTGGTCATTTAAATATGAAGCAGCATACTAAAATCTCCCTCTAGTTAGTTATTGTTGTATGCTTTTTCTTGTGCATATCTTATTGCTATACATGCTACACTGCATATGCATAGAGTAAACAGTTTTATAATGTATGATTTAAATAGTGTTTAAAATATCTACATGCATTAATGCATTTGTTATTGTACACCAGTAATGCAATGCACTAAATTACATTTTCTGAATGCATTTGTTCCCTAAAATGAGTAATTTTGTGCTTTAAATACAAGGTAGCGTACTAGAATTTCCCTTTTTAAAGTTATTATTATACACCAGTGATGCAATGCACCAATGTAAAATTTCTGAATGCATTTTTTTCCTTAAAATGAGCCATTTCCCCATTTAAATATTGCTGTTCTCATTTAAACACTGTACACCAGTAATGCGGTGCATCGAATTTAATTATTTGAATGTTTATTTTTGAGTCATTTGCTCATTTAAATATGAAGCTGCATGCTAAAATCCCCCTCTGCATAGTTATTGTTGTGTGAATATTCTTGTGCATATCTTATTACTATACATGCTACAATGCATATCCACAGAGTAAACAGTTTTATAGTCTATGATTTAAATGCCATCTAAAATTGCTGTATGCGTTAATGCACTATTTGATGTATAACAGTAATGCAATGCACCAAATTTCATTTTCTGAATGCATTTGTTTTCTCTAAAATTCCTCATTTAAATATGAGGTGGCTACTAAAATCTCTCTCTTTAAACATTTTGTTGTATGCATACCCTTTTGCATACTTTTGCTACTAAACTACTCCAGTGCATACTCCAGTGAATGCAGTAAACAGTTTGGCAAAGAAAAACTGTTTCAGGTGAGAATTTTTGGGTCCAAACTGTGATCCTCAAATAAAGCCTTCTAGTATGTCTTAAAATATCCCTTTGCCTGGTCAGATTTACTGTAAATTACATCAATAATTTAATTGCCATTTCATATTTTGACCTATACAGTATGCTGTGTTCAGAAAAGGCAGTATTGGAGTGTCTTACTATGAGCTTTTTAAAAGCTTACTAAACTTACAGTGAAAAAAGTATACATTCAAACTAACTTATAATATATTTCCTACATTTTTAGATTAAGACAGTGGTAGTTATTGTTCAGAATCTTATCTGGAACAAATGTTATTGGCAAATGTTACCAAACAAAGATGAAAAAGGCACAGGTCATCAGAAGTGTGCGTGTAGCAGTTGCAGCATGAGGTGAAATGCACTGAAGTGAGAAACGGGGTGGAGGATGTGTTGTTTTAGAGGTGTTGTCTTTATCAGAAGATGCTGTGTGTGAAGTGAAAGGTCTGATTTTCAGTGTTTAGCACCTTCCTGTAGACAAGCAATAAAGGAAAACATTAGTTCTTTAAAAGTTAAATAAACAAATACTGTGAGTGTGCTTGGTCAAATACTTTTTAGATGTTAAAGCAGCTTTATATACACCTTTCTGCTTGAAAGTTGGGGCTTTTTATGTAATATTTGATGTCAAGGGTGAAAGGTGAGACAACTTGTGTGCATCAAGTATAAAATGTACAAAGGTTATTTTAGATACACAGAAAGCATGCTAAATGTAATCACAGTGTGTGCTTTAATACTTCAAAAAACATTTGTGGATATGAAATTAAAATATACAGTTGAGGTCAGAATTATTCGCCCCCCTGTTTATTTTTTCCCCCAACTTCTGTTTAACGGAGAGAAGATTGTTTCAACACATTTCTAATCATAATAGTTTTGATAACTCATCTCTAATGTCTGATTTATTTTATCTTTGTCATGATGACAGTAAATAATATATTACACTAGATATTCTTTAAGACACTTCTATACAGCTTTAAGTGACATTTAAAGACTTAACTATGTTAATTAAGTTAACTAGGCAGACTATCAAAATATATATATAGCTTAAAGGGGCTAATAATATTGACCTTTAAATGGTGTTTAAAAAATTAAAAACTGCTTTCATTCTTGCCTAAATAAAACAAATAAGACTTTCTCCGGAAGAAAAAATATTATCAGACATACTGTGAAAATTTCCTTGCTCTGTTAAACATCATTTGGGAAATATTTAAAAAAGAAAAAAAAAAAAAAACTCAAAGGGGGGCTAATAATTCTGACTTCAACTGTATGTGAAATAATGCACCATCATCATTCAGCATGTAAAAATGTAAACATCAGACATATTTATCATTCATCTATCGTGTGCTCGTGTCTTGCATCTATGTGTGTTGTCCAAGCACGTGGCTATGTGTTTACACTGTGGCCGTGTGCTTCAGTCTTGTCCTGTTATTTTGAACGCGTGGTAAATGAGTTCTCTCATTGGCTACCTGTTCTTATCCTGTTTTATGTGATCACATGGCTTGTGTTGTCTCTGTCTCATGCGCTCTCCCGTCTGTTGTCTACTCCCACCCTCCTTGTTAACCCATTTTTAGTTAATTATGTTCATCTGTTTGTGTATTAATTTACTACAGTTTATAATCTCCTCATGACTGCTGTCCTGTGCCAGTTCGTTGTCGATATTTCCATGTCCTGTTGTGTCCATCCCTGCTTTGTCCTGCCAGCCCAGTCAAGTTTGTTTTTGCCTTTTATTCATGTTTTCTCCCTCGGGATAGTTTGTTTTGCATTTTATTTAATTTTTGTTGTTTAATTTCCATTTACCTGCATTTGAGTCCTCGCTCCTTTTTCCCCAACCCTGAACGTGACAGTTTGTTCGCAGAAAAACAAATATTGCTTAAAAGGGGCTAATAATAATGACCTTAAAATAGTTAAAAAATAATAATTTAACTGCTTTTATTCTAGCCGAAATAAAACAAATAAGACATTCTCCAGAAGAAAAAATATTATAGAAAATACTGTGAAACATTCTTTGCACTGTTAAACATCATTTGGGAAATAATTGGGAAATAAAAAAGAGATAAAAAAGAAATAAAAAAAAATCACAGGAGGGCAAATAATTCTGACTTCAACTGTATATATTATTTGCTCATACAAGACACATTTAAATGTATGGAAAATAAAAATCAAGCTCTATGACATTTTATTTAGTTTTTGACCTGTAAATCAGTGCCACACACCTGTATTGCATTTAAATAAGCATTCATGCAACTATGCATTCAATTTTTTACGTCTAAGAATACTAATAATGCATGTGTATTCTCTCTCGCTTTCTTTCTCTCAGGGATTCTCTCACTTACAGTCCGAGTACCAGAAGAGTGTGGGGGGGTCTCAGTCTCCAGGGGCCCCGAACCCCGGGGGCCAAAACCCAGACTGGGACAGCGAATACTGCAACCGGGAATGTGGCGGAAACCACTGCAGGTAAACAGCGTGTGTGTGTTTGCTTGTTGCAGTGTTAACCGTGTTTGTCCCATGAGACATTTGGCACAGTATCAGGGGACTTATGTGCATGCAGCATGTGTGGTTTCAGAGTTGTGCCGCATGAATTATTTATTGTGTAATATATCAATGCAATGCTAAAAAATGCACATACAATAACAATGTTTAAATAGCAGTTCAGAAAATCTGTCATTATTTATTCACCCTCGTGTCATTCTAAATCTGTGAGACTTTTGTATGTGCAACACAGAAGTGAATATTATATATTTATTCTGCTTTTTAAACAACAGCAATAATAATAATAATATCAAAACTAGTCTAAATCTGTGGTTCCTAACCTGGGGGTGGCTTTAAATATTAATGTTGTATCATTGTACTGTATTTGATGAACTCAACAGATGCTGATTATATTTGTGCTAGTTAAAAATACAGTTTCAATAATCATTAACAGTGGTCTAAAAAAGGAGACGTGTTGAGACCCATTGCTGGCGCGTTTCTATTTTGAGGATCTAAAATAGACAGCAAAATAAACCAGCTAAGAGCAGGTCTAAAGTCCAGCGCTGAGCACTACTTAATACACACTGGATGTACAGCAATACACAAATATCTTCACAAGGGAAAAAAGAATTAAAGGATTAAAATATTACAAAACATTATGATTTTCTAGATAAATATAAATACCACTTCATGCCTTCTTCATCTCGGGAGGCTTTTTAATAATAATAATAATAATACCTTTTATTTTTAGGCGCCTTTCAAAGCACTCAAGGACACCTTACAGCAGATTACAAGTACATCATAAAAATACAAGCAGTAAAAATGACAATCAGCATAAAATTAAACCAGCAAATCATTAAAAGCTATCCTAAACAAAAACGTCTTTATCTGAGATTTAAAATTGGAAATAGAGTCCATCTGGCGAATGTGCAAAGGCAGGGAATTCCATAACTTTGGTGCTGTACAACTAAAAGCCCTGCCTCCAAATGACTTCATCTTAAAGTGTGGGACAGATAACAGTTCAGCAGAAGATGATCTCAGTGAGCGGGAAGGAGTGTACAATTGAAGAAGATCAGAAAGATAGTGAGGGGCCAGGTTATGAAGAGCTTTGTATGTTAAGAGGAGGATTTTGTATTGTATACGATAGTGAACAGGAAGCCAGTGCAGGTGAAAGAGAATTGGAGTTATGTGATCAGAAGTACGCGAGCAGGTAACTATCCTAGCCGCTGAATTCTGAATCAACTGTAGTCTATGAAGTTGTTTATCAGGAATACCAGAGAGAAGCGAGTTACAGTAATCAATCCGTGATGTAACCAAAGCATGAACAAGCACTTCAGTACTTTGTTGAGATAGTGAAGGGCGAAGTCTTGCAATGTTACGCGAATGAAAAAAGGCAGAACGTGAGATATTACTAATTTGAGAACTAAATGAGAGCATGCCATCCAGTATAACCAGTTTATTCATGACAATTTGCTTTTGTATAATGTTATTATTATTAGCAGTATTATTTATTATATGCATATTTATGTCTGTTTTATTAAAAACAAGCTTAGATTTGTCCACCTGTCAGGTTTCAGACCATATGGGGCACAGCTTGTGTATTAGGACTCAGCTTTTTGAGCACACTTCGTTATTATTGTTCATTTATTCATTTGCTGGAAATTAGAACTGAATTTAGAAATAGTTTGGAAACAAATCTTTATGCTTAACAAACAAAATGAATTATGTGGGCTAATAGATGTGCGTACAACACCGTTTCCTTATCCACGGAAGAGAGTGAAAGTGAAAGTAAAGAATGAGGAGGCTCATCTCTCATTCTCACGCTGCAGATGCTCTGTTTAACAGTCTACTTACTAGTGAAGTGTTCAGTTTTTCCACTTGCAAAGTCCGCCATGTAAATGCACCATGGCGCGACACAACTGACTCTTAAAGGTAATGGGAGATGACACTCTGATTGGTTTATTCTCAAAACACACCTATAACTCAATAAGAGAATAAGCTCAACCCTGTTAGACCATGCGCTGCAGCGCAAAGTGGATTTTTCCGTCCTTAAAATAGCAAAAGTGGATTCAGACACGCCCTTTATGCACTTTTGCGCCCTGCGCTTTGGACTTTGTGTCTGGATCATTAAAAAAGAGCCCTGAATGTGCATTCAAAAAAAATTAATTAAAAATAACATTATGCCAAAGGTGGATCTTTAAAGGATACTGAATGGTAAAATAGGAGATTACTGGGGGGAAAAGGTGAGGAACCACTGGTCTAAACAACTCCATGTGAAGAGTTCATTTACAAAAGAATTTTTTTTTTATAAATTTAATAAATTTTATACATTTATAAAAAATGACATTTTATGAAACATCATTTATTAAAAGTTATAGTTATCTTAATAAAGTCTTGTGATCGTGGCACTTTCTAGGTTATATTTTTAATTAGCAGCATATTTTTCCACATCAGATTTGTTTGAGATTTGGTACAAAGTGACTTCAGGGTCATCAAATAATGATCTAATTCTTACTTTTTGCTTTGGTAATTCTCTTGAGAACTTGTGCAAGTTTTTCTATGAGCGTTTTTCTATTGCCGTTTTCCCGATGCTCATTTGTTTCTCATTGTTTGGCAGTGGCAGTATGATAGGCAGGGATAAGCCACTCTACCTCACTTGAAGCAAAGCAAGGAGAACAGAAAGAGAGAAGGATGAAACAACGCCAGGGAGTCCCTAAAACCACCACCACCACTTCTCCACCCTCCCCAGACATCATCAGTTTCCCTCAGTGTCATTTTTGCATTCGTTTTTAGAAGGATGTGTGTGTGTACGCGTTCTGAAGACTACTAGTGATCCTTTCATTTTTGCCAAGCACTTAAAAATGTACAGGCCTCTCTCCGCCAGAGACCTCAGAGAGCACTCACCCCGTCTCTGAATAAACTTAAAAGAAAACAGCAACAAAAAAAAGATGTATATAACGAGAAAAAAATAAAAATAAAGCAAACTACCATTAAAACTGGCCCTCAGGGCAAATGAGCTTTAACTAAAACAGAGGAACAACTCTCCTCGTAGTTTTCTCAGTTACTTTTCTCCTTGTCTCATTTTAATTTTTTTCTGATGATGATGATGATGATGATGATGTTGTATTTTTTATTTATTTCCTGCTTGCAACATAGCGCTTCTTCTTTACTTTCGAGAAAATACTCTTCTGAAGGCGAATCAGTACACTGACGCGAATCTGTGAACTTTAGGCATAAAATAAAAACACAAAAAACATGAATGGAAAAAACCAATTGATAAATACGACTTCTTTTTTTTTGTAATTTGAAAGACCCGCGTGCTGTAGGTCTTTGTTGATCTGTCACAGTGTGATTGTAAATATCACTTTTTTTGGGGGGGGGAGGGGGTCAAATTGGGAAGATGAAGTCCAGATATTTTTTCTTCTTTAATATGATTCATTGATTTGTATTTTAAATGGTATTTCGTGAATGCGTGCCGGTGTGAATGAATGAGCGTGCGTGTGAGTGTATTTGTGCGTTGTGTAACTGAACAGCCTGTGCAGGTGATATCAGAAGAGTGTTTCCACACGTACACAATCTTGCATTAAACTCACTGGTGTGATTTCCCAAAAAAAAAAAAAAAGATCTACGGCAAAAAGCGTGACTCGACTGCATGACCTGGCTCTCCATTGAGAATCAGGGTATCTTCCGTCCGTTCCACATCCGTTCTCAAACAAAGAAAGGGAAACCAAGAAAACAGCCACTTTTCGTTTTTTCTTTTGCTCACAAAAAAACAAGAAAGATTTTGGCTCGATTTCAAATTTTTTAAATTTAAGGTAGGAAAACGGATAAACGACTTTAAAATTCGTTATACACATGTAGGCGGTGCTAAAACACCCTATTTTCTCTGATTGGCCAACCAAATTTGAGCTTGTGACGTTGTCCTCAAAATAAAAGTTCTCTACTGATCAGCACCCTGGCTTATAATTCATTCATTCATTCATTCATTTTCTTGTCGGCTTAGACCCTTTATTAATCTGGGGTCGCCACAGCGAAATGAACCGCCAACTTATCTAGCAAGTTTTTACGCAGCAATTGCCCTTTCAGCCGCAACCCATCTCTGGGAAACATCCACACACACATTCACACACTCACTCATACACTGAAAGCTCTCGATTTATCGGTCAATCTACGTTCAGAAGTCCTATATGATAATAACAATAATCTAAAGGGACTAAGCCGAAAAGAAAATGAATGAATGAATGAATAATAATTATATGCTTATAGTTCGCCGCCGCCTGATGCTGACCGAAGATAACCATTTCCAAGTAGCACATGGTTTGCATGATTGTTTCAGAGCTATTGTAGGCCTACTTATTCTAATAATAATAATAACAATGATAGGCCAGTAATAATACTTATAATTAATATTGTTTTTTTTTTTTATTGTTTAGTTTTTTTAATAGCTGTTTGCAGGACCAGAATAAGAACACATTGGGCCCTAGGGCCAATACAAAGGGTACTATTTGTTTTTATTTTATTTCCTCCTATTATATATATATATATATATATATATATATATATATATATATATATAGTTGAAGTCAGAATTATTAGCCCCCCTAACAGAGAGAACAGAGAGAAGACTTATTCAACACATTTCTAAACATAACAGTTTTAATAACTCGTTTCTAATGACTGATTTATTTTATCTTTGCCATAATGACAGTAAATAATATTTGACTAGATATTCTTCAAGACACTAGTATTCAGCTTGTGACATTTAAAAGCTTAACTAGGCAGGTTAGGGTAATTAGGCAAGTTATTGTATAATGATTGTTTGTTCTGTAGGCTATCGAAAAAAATATATAGCTTGAAGGGGCTAATAATTTTGACCTTAAAATGGTGTTTAAAAAATTAAGAACTGCTTTTATTCTAGCCGAAATAAAACAAATAAGATTTTCTCCAGAAGAAAAAATATTATCAGACATACTGTGAAAATTTCCTTGCTCTGTTAAACATCATTTGGGAAATATTTAAAAAAGAAAAAAATTCAAAGGGGGTTAATAATTCTGACCTCATCTGTATATAGGACTTTTATTTTGAGGGTGACGCCACAGGCTCAGATTTGGTTGGCCAATCAGAGGAAAACAGCCATTTTAGCATCACCACATGTGTATAATGAAATTTAAAGTTGTTTATCCGTTTTCCTGACCTAAATTAAAAAACGAAAATTAAGCCAATATCAATTTTTTTCCTTTTTTGTGAGCAAAAGAAAAACCAAAAATTTTCTACATTTTTTTTTTTTAAACGTATCTGGAATGGACGGAAGATACCCTGATTATTTAGGCTCCCCATTTTGACTCCTGCTTGACTTTGAGATCGAAGAGCGCTCATGTGATTTGATTCACTCTCAGGTTGTAAATCGTGACATATAGACGCATAAATGTTCCAGGTCAAAAGTTCGAAATACACAATACGCAAGTACGCAGATGCGAACGCTCCGTTTCCAAACACAATTTCCAAATGTTTGTGCCATCATGTTTAACTTATCATTCACTAAAGCTCTTTAGTGTTTTACTCCACCGACTGTAGATTTTCAAATATAGCGCCCCTTGTGGCGACACAGATATTGCACCAAACACAGAGCGCATTTTTCGTCGTCGTACTTGCGCAGAGTTTGTTTTGAGCCCAGCGCAGTATATGAATTAAAACCCAAGTCATTTCTTTTTGCCTGATCTTGACTGATGTTAAATCCACCATTATAACATGTAAAGGTGAACTATAATGTTCTCGATGTGAGATAATACAGCACACAGTAAAACAACAGTGGGTCTATAGTTTTCTAGTAGCTTTTTGCTAGATGTTCTATTGTGTTGATCTCATCTTTAAGTTTCGTGGGAAAAGAAATATTCAATTACATTTGCTCATTAAGTCAGACGGTTTATTTTAATCTGTTTTTCTTTTCCTTTCTACTGTAGCATATTATTTTTAGTTGGATTAAAAGAATAACTTCTAAGACATTTAATTTGTGTACAAACCTGCCAATTGTAGTTATTTTATTTGTAAAGTCAGCAATGATAATTATTTGAAGAATCGTTATCAGCGAGTTGCCCATCATTTAATATTTAATAATGTTTAACAGGTTTCTATTTATGAACAAAATGAGATCGATTTTTGCTTATAACTACAATATTTGAATTCTATTGTTTTGTTTTTGGATTATGATGATGATGATGATGATGATGATGATGATGATGATGATGACAATTGCTTTCGTTTTTATTTTTACTTTTTGAATGCTGGGTTTTTTTTCTTTCCTTGCCAGCCAGGTCATTTTGTGTCACTATGCCTTTTTGTTTCATTTTGTCCTTAATAAAAACGTTAAATGAGATATTTGTGGTTGGGTCTTTTTTTTATTCCCCAACACAACCTTATTGATTATGTAGTTAGTTTTGTGTTTTTAATTATTTAATCAGAGGTGTTTAGTTTGAGAGCAAAACTAAGCATATCCATTCATTCATTCATTTTCTGCCGGGACCGGGTCGTGGGGGCAGCAGTCTTAGAAGAGAAACCCAGACTTCCCTCTCCTCAGACACTTCCTCCAGCTCCTCAGGGGGGATCCAAGGCGTTCCAAGCCAGCCGAGAGACATAGTCCCTCCAACGTGTCCTAGGTCTTCCCCGAGGCCTCCTCCCAGTGGGACATTCCTGGAACACCTCCCTAGGTAGGCGTCCAGGAGGCATCCGAAACAGATGCCAGAGCCACCTCAGCTGACTTCTCTCGATGTGGAGGAGCAGCGGCTCTACTCCAAACTCCACCAGGGTGTCAGAGCTCCTCACACTATCCATAAGAGTGCGCCCTGCCATCCTTCGAAGGAAACTCATTTCGGCATCTTGTATCTGAGATCTTGTCCTTTCAGTCATGAACCAAAGCTCATGACCATAGGTGAGAGTAGGAACGTAGATTGACTGGTAAATCGAGAGCTTTGTCTTTCGGCTCAGCTCCTTCTACACCACAACGGAGCAGTACATCGACCGCATCACTGCTGCCGCTGCACCAATCCACCTGTCAATCTCACGCTCCATCCTTCCCTCACTCGTGAACAAAACCCCGAGATGTAATTAAAAAGCAAAAGTTTGTACACAAAAAAGTTTTGTTAAAAAAAATTATAATAATAAAAATAAAAATATATTGGCTTTTTAGAGATTTATAACACTTCATTATGCACATTATTGTTGTCTATTCTACTGTCACTTCTTGTAAATTAAAAATTATTTAATTTATCATTATCCTTCATTCGTTTTCAGCTGAGTCCCACATTTATCAGGGGTTCCCCACAGTGGAATGAACCACCAACTAATCCAGCAGATGTTTTACGCAGCAGATGCTCTTCTAGACGCAACCCAGTACTGGAAAACACCCATACAGTACACACTTATTCACACACGCACACTCATGCACTATAGCACATGCGTTTGGACTGTGAGGGCACCCGGAAACCCACGCCAACACTAAGAGAACATGCAAACTCCAGTTTGAAAGCATGATTATGTTTGCAATGGTCTCAAAGCTTTATGGTTTTATTATATAACACATACAGTATGACACTGTGTCCTTGCATACGACATGATGCAATAAAAGCCATGTCTTTTCCATGTTTAAACTAGTTTCTGTCCGAACCATCTACAACAGAGATACTTAAAACTCCTATTTTCATAACAGTTTCCATTTCTTCGATGTCACAGCAGAACAGCATAAACTACTATGACATGGATCACCTCAGGTACTGATTATGTGCAATATTCAGTGTTTAAAGGGCACATAGTTTACCCCTTTTTTATGATGTAATATTAATATTGTGGTTGTTCTGAGTGTGCCAGTTTAGGTTCAGTTCAACACACAGTTCAGATGTTTTTATTATAATCTGTTCAAAAGTGTCATGTTGGGGGGCGTGTACACAGTTTGCTGTTTTAGGGGCGTGTTGCTTCACAGGTTCGGCTTTCTGCCCAACATAACAAGGGGGCGGAGCCAAGAGCTCCCACGCTCTGTGTTTGCAACAGACAGGCAGACAGAGAGAGAGCTAAGCTAAGCTGAGCTAGGATGAGCATTCAGCTTTACATGTACGAGTCAGACACAGACCAAGCAGAGAGTACAAAATCATTTGTGTCTTTGAAACATGGTGTCCCGAATCGTCATGCCATGCATTCCAGAACTCCAAACACAAGCCTCCACCAGGGCAAACACAACGGCGCCGCGCCAAGCCGCTGACCCGAAGCTCCGCCACAGCCATATCACCCTGCAGCCCAAGACCGGTTACTCACTGAAGCTAAGCAGGGCTGAGCCTGGTCAGTACCTGGATGGGAGACCACTGGGGAACACTAGGTTGCTGTTGGAAGTGGTGTTAGTGAGGCCAGCAGGGGGCGCTCAACCTGTGGTCTATGTGAGTCCTAATGCCCCAGTAAAAGTGAAGGGGACACTATACTGTCAGTGGGCGCCGTCTTTCGGATGAGACGTTAAACCGAGGTCCTGACTCTTTGTGCTCATTAAAAATCCCATGGCACTTCTCGTGAAAGAGCAGGGCTGTAACCCTGGTGGCCTGGCCAAAGTCCCTCTATCGGCCCTTATGATCATGGCCTCCCAATCATCCCCTTACACCGAATTGGCTCTATCGCTGTCTCTTCACTCCACCAATAGCTGGTGTGTGGTGAGCGCACTGGCGCCGTTGTCGTGTGGCTGCCGTCGCATCATCCAATTGGATGCTGCACACTGGTGGTGGTGTGAAGAGACGCCCCTCATGATT